ACACACACACACACACACACACACACACACACACACACACACACACACACACACACACGTACACACGTATACACGTACACACGCACGAAGGTGAAAGGCAAAGCATCATCTGAATCACGAGTGGCGCAGGCGGACGAGAGAGTACGCCTCGTATCGCACGACACGCCACAACGCAGGCTCAACAACGCCATGAGCGTTGCACACACATGCACATGCACATTTGCGGTTCACACGTGGTCGGCCAACGCACCCACAATCCGCCATGTCCTCGTGCTCTCTCTACATGCACAGAAATCCACTCTGATGACTCTCTGACACACTCTCTTGTTAGCTCACCCGCTCCTCTCCCTCCCTCCCTCCCTCACACACACACATGTATACACACACTTCTTTTCTTTCGCGTGCGCGGTCGTCTACTCTGCTTGTGCTTGTTGCTGCTGCTGCTGTTGCTGCTGATCTGGAGGGAGGCCGACGACGTCCTGTGGGGGCTTCGGCTCACCTTCCTCTTTTGCACACTTGAGCAGGAATGTGCCAAGCCACTCAACCGGGTTGGGTGGTCTGGCCAGCGTGTTCGCAAATGTGTGTGTGCGTGTGTTTGCGCGGGCGCGCGGGCGTGTGTGTGTGTGTGCATTGTGGGGGTAAGGAAGGGTGGATTGAGAGTGCCAACGCGCTTTGGAGATGGCAGCAGGCGTGATGCGTTGGTTTGCAGGAATGCAGGTGCATGCGCAGCGCAGACAGAAATGCAGACATACAGACAAATCTGCGGGCACATGAACGAAACAGACGTGGATTCAGAAGCATCTGCACACACACACACACACACACACACACACACACACACACACACACACACACACACACACCTTTCTTGTGCAAGGGCAGCGAGGCCCTCGAGAAGTACGGGGACGACGGTTTGGTCGAGGTAGTCACGGGTCGGGTATTGTGGAGTGAACTGCATCTGCGCATCGTTGGCGTGTTGTCGCAGAGCCGCCTGAAACAGCAGAAGGGAAAAAAAGAAGGAGGGGGGGGGGAAAGCGACATGGCAGCGTGAGTGTAAGGAGAAGAGGTACAGGGTGGAAGCAAATCACGGGTAAATGACGGGCAAATCGTACAGCCATCAACCAGCACACACACACGCACACACACACATACACATACACATACACACACATACACACACACGCAAGCATACATGGAAGTCGTACCGCAGGTTCCTCTGGAAGTGGCGCCTGCACCTTTGTGTCTTCCTCTGCTGCAACAGCAGGCTGTTCCTCCTTCTCCGACACGACACATATGATGTCGGTGAGTCGTGTGGAAACCATGTACAACAAACAAGCGACACACAGACACACACACACACAGACACACACACAATCATACATACATACACACACACACACACAATCACACATACATACAGACACACACACAATCACACAATCACACAATCACACACAGACAAAGACAGACACACCTCTGGCTTTGTGTCCATGGCCGACATGGCCGACGTTCTGCTGTGTGTTGTTTGGTGTGTGCTTTGCCGCCCCTCGTCGCTTGTCGCTAACTTCCCTGTGGTTTCTGCTGACTCAGCAATTTATCACAGTCAATTGCCTCAACCCATCAAATCACACCACACCACACGCAGCCACAAGCAAGCAAGCCAGCGACCACCTCCCTTCCTTGTGCAAGCGAGCAAGCCAGCCAGCAGCCTTTTGCTTGCTTCGCGTTGCTGTTGGACGGTGTGAAAGACACGAGGTTCTTTCCACCGAGCGAGCTGGCAAGCCTACAAGACCGCCATCCACCCACCCACCCACACACACACACACATACTGGTTCACCGCCGTGTACAATTCACCGGCAAAACGCAGTTGGGGCAACAGCAACCACCCAACAACAACAACAACAACGACAACAACGACAACGCAGACGATAGCGGGCAACTGCGGGTGATTGAGTGCGGCTGAGCGTGGGTTCGCGCGCGCGTGTGTGTTGGTTGAGGGGAGAGACAGAGAGGACATGAAGAAGGTGCGGTTTGAGTTTGACGTCGATGCGCCGTGGCCACTGGCGCTTCTTGCTTATGATCGCAAGTCATGGGGCATCCCCAACCCGGCCATCAAGGAGGTGCTCAAGTGTGACTTCTCTGACTGGGATGTCAACCCACAGCTCCAGCAGACTTCCTTTAAGTACGTTATCGTGTGTGTGTGTGTGTGTGCGTTTGTGTGCATGTGTATGTGTGCTCTTGTTTGTGCGTGTGTATGTGTGCTCTTGTGTGTGTGTGTGTGTGCTTGTGTATGTATACGTTTGTGCGCGCGTGTGCGTCCTTGGGTAGCACTCACCCACTGACGTCCTCACTTACTCACTCACGCTCACACACCCTCCAATGCTGCTGTCATAATTGCCGCAGACGGCGTGTTCAATTCCGTATGCCATTTCCTGGGTGGTTCATGAAGCTCCTCACCAACGACAGGGTACGTGGCCAGTCAACATATCCGACTGCGCGTGCACATCCTTCCGCCACTTACCTTCCCACGTTGCATCTTCACCCATAGTTATCGCTCATGGTTGCCTGCTGATGTTTGTTCTCCTTCACTCGGTTGGTTTGGGGTACAATATAGGAGGCGTTCTTGGAGTTTGACACACTGATTGACCGGAAGAACCAGCATGCGGTGGTGCACGGCGTCAACTTGACCATGCGCCATGTCATTGAGGTAAATCAACGGTCATCTTCATGTGCGCACGCGTCATCAGAGCACGTTGAGCATGCACATGTGTTCTCAACACACCTCACAACACGCTGCACAACGCACACACTCACTCACACACACTCTCACACACACACACACTGTTTCTCACTCACATGTTTTCATACACACACACACACACACACAAATGTACACTGCAGATGACGGAGGACATGGAGATCTTTGCGGACCCCGACGACCCGCGCAAGACGAAGATGGTGTATGTGATGACATACCAGCTCAAGTTCAGCTCGTGGGTCTCCACGCGCCTGGAAAACCTCATCAACTCCCACTACGGCAAGGCCCTCAAGCGCGGGCGCACCCTCGACCACAAATTCATTCAGCAGGTGCGGTTGTATGTGTTTGTGTACTTGTGTGTTTGCATGTGTGGCGCACGCTTGCATCTCTGAGTGAGACAGCAGCAGCTGTGTGTGTTGCTTTTGTTTGACGATGACACATGACATCTCACCACATGCTTGCGTGCGCTGTGTGTCTGCTACAGTTCAAACGAAAGCACTCTCTCAATGCCATTCCCCTGACGCGCTCCGAGCAGAGCGGTGAGCCGTTGTGCGCGCGCGTGTGTTGTGTTTGATGTGCTGTGTCGTCTGTGCTGTGTGTGCGTGTGTGCTGTCTGTGCTGTATGTGTGCGGGTGTGTTTGTGCGTCGCATTGCTTTCCTGGTTTTTGCTACTAGTTGTCTCTTACACCCCCCCCCCACACGCATGCATGCATGCAGCAATGGAGATCTACAAGGCGCGGCTGGACACGGTACTGCCTGAGCGGGCGAGCATTGCCAGTTTCGAAGCCGAGGACATTGACAGCGGCACGGGAAACTCCAAGACAACCGGAGACGAGACGCCGCTCGCTGACGGCGCCAGCAGTGATGGCGGTGCAGCTGAGGATGGGGATGAAGCTGCCAAGCGAAGCACCGGTGTCAACAGCGAGCATGCACAAACGCGTCGCCCGCACGCACTTCCACTCTCTGCCTCAAACGACGAGCTCGGTGGTGACAGTGGCGGTGATGATCACGGTGCTTCAGCTGACAGCGCCGACGTGCAGGGTGATGAAGATGAGGATGACATCTTTGTGGACGCAAGGCAGGGCGATGACGGTGACTACGGCAAGACCGACAGTGCGGCGGAGTGGAGTGACGCGCCAGCCTCATCCGCACACCAACAGCGGCGCCAGCAGCAAGTGGAGGCGGCAGCGAGTAGCTATGGGCGACTCGAGAACAAGCGCGCACACGCTGGCACTCGCGTTGGTGACGACGACGAGGGTGCATGGCCGTTTCCGATTGCCTTTGACACGCTACTTGTGGATCCAGAACACAGTGTGCCTCGCACCCACGTGTAGCTAGCCAACAACCCCTTCTCTCCCTTTTCCCCTCTGTGTATATGTATGCGTGTGTGCGCGCGCTTGTGAAAGCGTGACACACACACCTCACACACACACCTCACACACACACCTCACACGCACACCTCACACGCACACCTCACACGCACACCTCACACACACCTCACACACACCTCACACACACCTCACACACACCTCACACACACCTCACACACACCTCACACACCCCTCACACCCTCACATGCACACACACACATGCACACTCACACCCATACGTCCACACTCTCTGCCTCTTCGTCTTCAAACCACGGCCTTCACGGCCCAACTGCTGTGTTATATTCTTGTGCTGTGTTCCAGATTACGAATTCCTCTTTCTTCTGCTTTCTCTTTCTTCTGCTTCATCTCCTTCCCCGTGTTTTGTCGCTTTCTTCCCTTCAGGCTGTGCGTTACACGCTGCTATTGCGCACGCATTAGGTTTAGCATCTCTGATTTGTTCCTTTGGTGTGGCTTCCTTCCCTCGGCTTGTCTCACTACTTCTCCGCCTTCCCTCTGTGCATATATACATTCGTCTTCCTTCCTTCCTTCCTTCCTTCACATTCGATTGAAACTAGGTCCCATTCCGTCTGCGTGTCTGTGTTGCTGTCTGTGCAGTGATGTGAAGCAGCACGCCATCACAATACACCAAGTCTCCATCTGCTGTGAGTTTAATGTAAGAACATCACATCACATAAAATCGATTCATGTCACATCACAACATCGACACCCCACAAGAAGCAAGTCAACCGCAACCACACCCACAACAACACCCACAGTGCTCCAGAATGCCCACCTTTATGAATACCTTCCACTGAATTTCGGCAATGGTCCTTCCAATTTGGAGAAAGAGACGATGATGTCGTGCGCTCGGTGGCTTGTTGTAGTGGTGGTGGCAGTTGTGGTGGCTGCTGCTGTCGTGGCCAGCAGTGACAGCCACAGACACGATCAGCACAGTGGGACGGGCAAACGATTACAGATTGGGGTGAAGCATAGAAGTGAGGACTGCCATCTGAAATCAGGAACCGGAGACACGCTCGCCGTCCACTACACGGTGCGTCTTGCTGCGTTTGTTTGTGTTGTTCGTGTTGTTTGTTTGGGTGTGTGAGCGGTGTTTGCTTTCTTGTTTGTCTACCTGCTTGATTGCTTGTTTGTTTGGCTGCTTACTTGCTTGCTTGCTTGTTTGTGTCTTGTAGTCTGTTGTTGCTGCGGTGCGTGAATGCGCCAGTGACAACAAGCCAGGTGCCCACTTCTGCATGGCTTCTTGGCAAGCCACCCACTCTGACATTCGGTGACATCATCGTCCGCTTTCGTGTGCCTGATGCTGTTGTTTCAGGGATACCTGGCGGACACTGGCGACACGTTTGACAGCAGCTTGCCGCGTGGCGATCCGCTTGTGTTCACGCTGGGGGATAATCAAGTCATCCAAGGCTGGGAACAAGGCTTGCTCAAGTCAGGGCCGTGCTGGCGTGTGTGTGTGTCTGGTGTGTGTGTGTGTGCTTGTACTTGAGAGCACACACACACACTCTCACAGTGTGGCGTATGCAAACGGATTCACCGTTTCCATGCACGACAACCACTATTGCTCACACATGAACGGCTGCATCTTGCCTATGCTGTCATGTAGCATGTGCATCGGAGAAGTGCGATCTCTCGCTGTCCCGTGGACTCTCGGTGAGTATTCATTTTCACAGCTTGTGTTGTGTGTGTGTGTGTGTGTGTGTGTGTGTGTGTGTGTGTGTGTGCGTGCGCATGTTTGACGTGCGTGCTGACCTCTTGTTCGCACCACGCTGCGCGCTGGTGCTCTGGTGCTGGCCTTCATAGCCTGCGTACAAGCTGCACATGTATTGTGATTTCACCCTCGCGCTCAGACGCCCATTCCAACCCCGGTTCTTCCTCACCACTGATTGCCCTGGCCACCTCTTCTCACACAAACTGTTGTCATCACTGTTGTCATCACTGTTGTCATCACTGTTGTCCTCACATCAACACACACACACACACATATCAACACATATTTGCATGTTCGCTGGACGTCAGCGTATGGAGACTATGGAGCACCGCCCGCCATCCCTCCCCGTGCAAATCTTCGCTTTGAAGTGGAGCTCCTGCACATCGACAAGCGGCACACCGACAGCCATCACAGCACTGCAAGCAGCAAAAGCGAACTCTGACCTGAGTGGAGCAGAGTAAGCAAGAGCAAGCACAACAAGCAGAGCAGAGTCATCACAACAAACAAGCAAGAGCAAGCACAGCCGCCACTGAACACCACCAGCCAGCGCGCCGTTGCGTTTTATGCTGTCGTTACCTGTCCTATTTGAATGCGCACTGGATGTCTGTGATTTGTGTGCGAAACATACTTGTTATCACCTATACACCGTAGTAATCTTCCTTTTTTTTTTTCGTGTGGTGGGTTTGTTGGTGGCGGAAAGAGAGAACACGCGTGTGTGTCTGCTGGTGCGAGCGTGCTGAGAGTGTGTGAGGGAGGGAGAGAGATAGTAAGAGATGGGGTATGGCAAGCCACTGGCGTGAGCTGGAGTGCATGGCAAGGAGTGAACGCATGGATGGCAGAGTGAGCACTGCTTGATTCGCTCATCTCTCTTGCTTCTTCTTGGATCGCCATCGCATCGCTCATCCTTCCTTTTTGCATCCTCAACACACACACACACACATAACAGCTGCTGCTTTTTTTGACGCTCTTCTTTGCCAAGGCACACGCGCACGACAGGCCTTCAAGCGTAACAACTGCGACAAGCACTCTTGCACACACACACACACACACATACACAACCGCGTGCGCTCACAATGGCGGAGCACGATCTCACGCGCCAGCTCTGTGGCTTCCTCGACAACCACATGACGCTTGCCCTCATCCAGAATGCCCTCGACAAGGTGTGTGTGTGTGTATGCGTGCGAGTGAGTCGGTGTGCGTGCGTGTGTGTGTATGCGTGTGTATGTGTGTCTGTGTCTGTGTGTGAGCGTAAAACCCCGAGGGAAATGTGTCCGTAAGCTCAGCCTCACCGCCTTTCTCCTTCGTGCTGCTTGGCTCTCGCAGGAGATTTACAAGCGCGAGCAGCTGATCACGTCCAAGCTGAAGGTGCTCGAGTCGGCCCACTTCTTTGATGCCATGAAGGAGGTGTACCACGACGTCAAGGCCACCGTGCCAAAAGGTGTCGTTCGCACACAACGTCATCCCCCCTGTTGTCTCCCTTCGATGTCTGCGTGCGTGTGTGTCTCTGTGTGTGTCTGTGTGTTTGTCTATGTGTGTGTGGCGTTCAAGTCACATCAGCAAAGGGGAAGCCTACCCGCGTATGTGCTTGTGTGTGTGTGTGTGTGTGAGTGTGATTCACGCGTGTGGCTATTGCGTGCTTTGATGTTCGGTGAGCGCAGAGGTGCTTGAGAAGGAGGAGGCGTTTAACAACCACGTCGACAGCCTGAGTGAGGAGCTCAGCAAGGTGTACGACGTCTTCTCCAAGCAGGAGGTCATCGACGCCATCTCAGCCTCATACTCAAACCCAGACCCGTAGGTTGCTCTGTGTGTGTTTGCATGTGTGTGTGTTTGCATGTGTTTGTGTTTGCATGTGTTTGCGAGTGTGAGCGAATATTTTGCGCGCGCTCTCTCTCTCTCTCTCGTGCCTCCCATCTATCCCCGCTCTTCTTCTCCGTCTGCGCCTTTCTCTCCTCTGTGTGTGTGTGCATCAGCGCTTGTCCATGGGCCGCAGCAAGCACGCATTGGTCCACTGTCAACGCTCACATGAATGCCCTCCACTCTTGCCTCAAACATACAGCGCCAAGTTGACAGAGAAGCTCAAGGAGCACGGCGTAAGTGACACATTCTCGCCACAGCCCCATCACGTCTTGTTCACATGTGCTCGCACCGACCTCTTGTCGCTTGGACACTGTTCGTGTTACACAGTTGCTTCCCCACCACTCACGAACTCGCTCTCTGGCTCATGGACTCACGGGCTCATATCCGCCCATGTTTCTTTGCTGCCTGTGGTGTTGATGTGATGTAGTTCGAGCCGAAGATGCTTGACACAATGTTCAAGGCGGCCCGCGCCTACTACGACCTCGAGCAATACGCTACGGTGAGCACCACCAACAACAACCCATGCCACCCCCTCCCCTTTCCATCTGTTTATTTTGCACACAGCAGAGTTTTGGCTAACTCTGCGTAATGGTGTGGTTGCGGCGATATACTTCCTTGTCCTTCTCACTCACTCACTCACTCAGGCACTCACTCACTCATGCTCATTTGCTCACTCTCATTCACCCCCTCCTCCTAATCGACCTGTAGGCCGGCACGATGCTGTACAACTACCGCCCGCTGACGAGCGACCCGTCCAAGCGCCTGAGCGCGCTGTGGGGTCGTCTTGCCGTCGAGATTATGTCCGAGAAGTTTGAGGAGGCAACTGAGGTCCTTGGCGTCCTCCAGAGCAACATCAAGGGTGAGCTATACCAGGTTAACACGCGCATGCGTGTCCGGGTTGTGTGTGTTGCTCGTGTGGTTTGTGCGCGCCAACGTCATTGCGATATGCAGTCGCTGACGCCTGCTGCCCTTCGCGCGCACACACACATGCGCTGCTTTGCCTCTCCCTCGCTCTCTGTTTGCGGTGATTGCAGAGACGAGCCTGGAGCCCCTGAAGAAGCTGCAGCAGCGCGCCTGGCTCATGCACTGGTCCCTCTTCATCTTCTTCTTCGGCGACAACGGAGAGGTGTCGTTATTTCCTCCTCACTCGCATGTGATTCTCGTTGGGCATGTCGTGGTGTGGTCGTTGTATCCGTTGTCGCGTTATGTGTGTGCGTGTGCAACACGTTGTTGCTTTGTATCTTGTTCCTCAACACACTGCAGATATCAATCTGGTGTACACTTGTGTGGTTTTGTTTAATTGTCTTCACCTGCCGCTCACCCATGGTCGTTGCCCTCCTCCATCTGTGGTTTTTTGCCTCTCGACAACACACACACACACACACACACACACAAACTTTCTCTGTCTCTCTCTGTGTGTCTCTCCCCCCTCCTTATGTGTGTCTCTCTCTTCCCCCTCACCAACATCTTGTCGTTGTGTGCAGTCGATTCGCATCTCGCACCTCCTTGAGAAGTTCCTCCCCAAGTCTGGCGAGCGCGACCAGGAGAAGAACGAGTTTATCGGCGCCATCCAGACCATGTGCCCGCACCTGCTGCGCTACTTTGCCGTCGTTGCCGTCATCACCTGCCCGAAGCGCCCAGACTCGCGCGACGCCATCCGCGACATTGTGCGCATGATCCGCCACAAGACGGCCAAGTTCTCCGACCCCATCACCCAGCTCCTCGAGTGCATCTACATCGACTTTGACTTTGACAAGGCCCTCGAGCTCCTCAGCGCCTGCGAGAAGGTGCGCCCTGCTTTGTCTGCTGCTGTCGTAGTATGTGTTTGAACGTGGGTGGTTGCGAACGTGGGTGGTTGCGAACTGTCGTCAAGCGTGCTGGCGCCGTTGTTGGTCGAGCACGCCCATGCTCTTCCTGTTCATTGCACAGCGGTGCGTCTGCATTCAACACACACAGAGGCAGCACGGAGTTTCCTCGTGCCCAGCTTAACACACACACACACACAATACTAATGCCTCTTTCGTTGTGCTGCTTCAGGTGCTTGACTTGGACTTCTTCCTCACGACGTACCGCACAGACTTTGTCGAGTCGGCCTCGAAACTCATCTTTGAGGTCTACTGCAAGATCCACAGCAGCATCAGCATCCAGTAAGTCGCAGCAGCAGCAGCAGCAGTAACAGCAGCCTTGCTCCCTATGCAGCGCGGGCCTGTGGTCTCCCTTGTATGTCAATGTGTGTGTGTGTCTGAAAGTTTGTGTGTGTGTGTTTTTTTTTTTTAACTTTTATTTTATTTGTGCTTGATACTCACTGTTGCGAAACACGTGCTGTCTTGCCATGCCCGTCTTTCTCCCCGACCCCTTCTTGTGTGCAGGTTTGTCGCTGAGCGCCTGAGCAAGACAGCGAGCGAGGCGGAAAAGTGGATTGTGGACTTGATTCAGTCGGCCGATCTCAGCGCCCGCATCGAGCAAGCAGAGGTGCGTGCTCTCGGCCATCACACGGCTGCGGTGCCTCCATATGCACAAACCCGTGTTGTGGGGTGTTGTGGGGGGGGGGGGGTGCTGTTCGGTGTGTGCATGCGCGAGCGTTCAACTTACACACACACACACACACACACACACACACACACACACACACAATGGACTTCTGACTTGTTTGTTGACCGTCTTCTTATGTCTTGGCTTTGATGTGTATGGGTTGCAGGGTTATGTGAAGATGCTTCACGAGCCACAGAGCACATACGACCAAGTTCTCGACTCCACCCGCAGCATTCCTCTCAGAACGTACGCTTTGCTCGCTCTCTCGTCATGGCATGTTGATTTGAACAACTGCATTCACGCAACGAAGCTACATATTCATCCACAGACGCAGACAGACAGTCAGACAGACACGCCCTGCCGTCTTGTCTCAACGTTGCTGTGCAACCCATCATGTCAAATCTCACACGTCAACTGCCGTGCATTGCATTGCATTGTGTTCACGCTGTCAGGCGCGCGTTGCTCGACAACTTCCACCGCCGCGGTACACGCAAGCCTCACAACAAGAAGAAGCAGGACAAGTGAACTGGACCGCCTGTTGACGTGTCGCTTGTACACACGTACGCTCTCGACCCGTGTAAGGACAGGGCCCATGTATTTCTCCGTCCCCCAACCAACCCCCCCCCCCCCTTCCTCCGTTTCCACTGCCCAAAGTGACCTACGACCACTGCCAACCACCACTCTTTTTACCGGACCTCTCCCCCAACAATTGTCGATCCTTGCCCTCCCCATCCACCACATGCATATGATTACTCCCTGCAGCTAGTATCGTGCACCCCACCTCTCCCTGTCTCCGATTGATGTGTGTTTACGTGTGTGGCTGCTTTTGCAGTCCGATGACGACGACGATGATGATGCTGATGATGATGATTGTGTAATTGGTGTTAGGAGGCGTGCCGTGAACTGGTGCATTGGCCCGTGGTTATTGTCCCTCTCCCCCCTTGTCATCGTTGTGTGTGTGTGCCTCTTCGTTGCCACTCGCGTGTGTTGTGTATGCCAGTGCTTGTGTTTGTGCGTCGTTGGTGGGTCGTACCCCCAAGTCGTTTATCATGTGTGTTGTGTGTGTGTGTGTGTGCGTGTTTGCGCGTGTGCGTGTTTGCGCGTGCACGCGTATGATTGTGGCTGTGCGAAGCAGAAGAATAAAGCAGAGTCGAGTTAATGTAACTGAGGCGACGAGCCGCAAGTCAGTTGGCGAGCGGAGACGTGGACAGATGGGATGTGTACACAGACAGACACACCGCACAAACAAAGCAAGAAAAGTAGCCAAGCTTGATCACTCGTAGTTGTTTGAGTCAACGCATAGAAGCGTGCGTGGTACAGCCACGCAAAGCAAGCATGTGGCTGTGGTAAGGGGTTTGAAACAAGTGTTGAATGCAAATAGCGATGGAACAAGCATAGAGGGTTGTTGTTGTGAAGTCCTTGGTATCAAACAAAAGAGAAGAAGGAGACTCGAAGCAAGACGAGTTGCCAGCGAGCTGGCTGGCTAGAAGCCTTTGGTGCTGTCCTTCCACCAACCATTCTTGTGGATTGAAGGTGTGCGAGAAGCAAGACAATGCATGTGAGAGGAGAAAAGGAAAAAGCGCGTTTGCGCGAAGGCAAGCACATCTCGGGGGAAAAAAGCAAGACCGCCAACATGTTGCAACGGAGTGCAATGTCAAACAACACACACACACACACACACACACACACACACACACACACACACACACACACACACACACACACACATATATATATATATATATATACACACACACACACACACACACACACACGAGAGCACGGTACAAAAGATTGTAGCATAGCACAGTAGCACACCTTTTGCAGAACGTGTGCGAGCTTCTTGTTCTTCGCCTTGGCGCGTTGCTTCTGGTTTCGCAGGTTGTATGGAACACTCTTTGCAGACAGGCCGGCTGACGCTCTCTGTTTCGCAAGCGGAAGGAAGCAGCAGGACAGTCCAGTGTGAGGAGTACCGATGCAATTGAGAAAAAGGGAGAGGTAGATGTGACAGCCACAAGCACAAACGCAGGTACAGACAACCGCGATGGAGAGGCATGGCACACGGAAGGGATGGAGAGAGACACCCACACCCACACAGACACACAGACACACAGACAGACACACAGACACACAGACACACAGATACACACACAGACACAGACACACACACAGACACAGACACACACACGCACAGACACACAGACACACAGACAGACAGACATACAGACACACAGACACACAGACAGACAGACAGACAGACACACACACACACACGCCTTCTGGTTTTCGCGGTGGTGGCGTTCGAGGGCCTTCTTCTTCATGCCTTGCAGCTTGGGCAGAGGCATGGGGTTTGGCTTCTTCTTCTTGCCGCCAAGATCCTCCACCAGCGCTTGCTGCAGCTTTCGTCGCCGCTTCCCTGTTGTCATTGCGATGAATTCACGCCGCAGCAGCCAACGGCAAGGTGAGGGCAAGTAGATGGGGTGAAGGAGATCAACGTAGCAGCCACAGTCGCACGAGCAAGTGCATGAGAAGAGGGACAGACAGGCAGGCAGGTAAACAGACCGACAGATGGACAAAAGTAAGCAAGAGGCAGACACATAGACACACAGACACAGACACAGGCATACACAGACACAGACATACGCACAGACAACGCGCATCAGACGCACCCCATGAGTTTGCGAGGTTAAACTTCTCAATGTCCAGCTTGGTCCGCACCATCAAGCGGCGTAACGCAGACGATGACGCGTCCACCTCCTCTGCAGGACCCTCATCCGTTTTCTTCGCCTTGTGGGCCCTGTGGCAAGTTAGGGGGTTGGAGTTCAGAGAAGGAACACAAGCTGTGAGCTGCACTGGCACACGTGGACCAGAAGCGGTGCACAGACAGAGGGGGATGCACACAGAACACAGACAGACACACACACACACACACACACACACACACACACACACACACACACAGATCGACACACACACACACACACAGCCACAGCCACACACACACACACACAGCCACACACACACACACACACACACACACACACACACACACACACACACACACACACACACACACACACACACACACACAGACACACACACAATGCAACGCAGAACCTCTTGGCAGCTTTGCTTTCTTGGATGCGCTTGTGTGGATCATCAAACGTCACCACCTCCACGTCCTTCTTCTCCTTCTTCTTCCTCCGTTCCGCCTCCTTCTCCGCCTTTGTCTTCACCGGCCAGTCCATCTTCGTTGCTGTCTGCCTTTGCTTGCGGTCAAGAAAAACACGTGGGTGGTTGTTTGTTGTGGTTTGTGCGTGCTTTCGTCTTCGTTTTGCTGGTTTGACGAAATGACAACAGTCATGTGGACCACGAGGGCACACCCATACCATGCAAGGGGGGTGGCTCAGAGAGGTGGGCGCACATGCTAAGGAAAGGGGGAACACGGCAAGGCACGGCAACTCCAAACGCAACGCAACTCAACGCAAGCAAGGCAACAAACAAAACGCAGTGAGGCAAGGAAGAGAAGCGCAAGTGAGCCGCAAAAACAGGGGAAAGGGGCGGTGGTTCATGTCAGTCGACAAGAGGTGCGCTCAGAGGTCGCTCTCGCCTGCAGCAGGACATTGTCAAGGTGTGCACGGAGGCCATGGTGAGGAGGAGGAGGAGGAGGAGGAGGAGGAGGAGGAGGAGGAGGAGGAGGAGGAGGAGGGGGGGGAGATGACAGACAAGGGCGAAACACAGCATCAAAGTACACACAGAGACATACACTCACAGACACACACGCACACAAGAGCCAAGATGCAAACAGAGCAGGTACACTTCACATACCATAAAGGGCGTTTGCAAAGGAGGAGTAGTCGAGAGCACCCTCGGGACCGTCATCATATGTGCTCATGTTGGCAATGCAGTACTCGTACAGCTCAGGCGACAGCTCACGTTGCAGATCGGCAGCAAGCACATACGGTTGGCCTGCACGGGCAGTACGTGTATGCACAACAGTGGTAAGGCTTATCGTCGTTTCAATCGGTGGAACGAAACACAAAGGCGTGATGTCCCCCTTTCACACACACACACACACACACACACACACACACACACACACACACACACACACACACACACACACTGACCGTTTGAGAGGACGCGGAAGGCCTCGAGGAGCTGGTCGGCAGACTCTGCATCTGCGCTCTCCTCGACCATAAAGGCGATAAACTCGTCAAAGGAGACCTTTCCGTCGCTGTTGGGGTCAAGGCGCGCCATGATGCGGTCCCACTCGGCATCCCCACTCTCCTCAGGCACCTGCAAGGCACCACCAAATCGGAGGTGCGGGTGTGTGTGTGTGTGTGTGTATGGGCGTGAATACAGGCGATTGAGTGAACGTGACACACGCGAAACACAGGTATCAAAGTGGGGCAGCCGTTGTCAAGAAGGAGGGTGTCAAGGACCGCAAGAAACAACTCCGTACATCCACCAGACGAGCACACACAAAACAAAATGACACAAACGTGCAATGAGCGCACGGCAAGCCCTGCCACACCTGGGAGATGTTGAATTTGCCGAGGGAGAGGAGGAAGGCGCGGAACTCCTTGTGCTCGAGGAAGCCGGAGTTGTCCTTGTCCCAGTGCTGGAACGCCTCCTTGTACTCCTTCATGTCCTCCTCCGTGAT